CCCCCCCCACCTCTATTCAAGCTTGGCTTCTCCATTTTTACATAAATTGCCTCTTTCACACACCTTTTAAACCAGTCCTCCTCCCTGTCTAGGATGTGTACTTGGCTGTCTTCAAAGGAGTGACCTTTTTCCTTTAGAAGTAGGTATACTGCCGAATCCTGACCAGAGGGTTTTGCTATTCTATACTGTGTCATACGCTGGTGTAGCTGCTGTTTTGTTTCACCGACATACAATTCTGAGGACTCCTCACTGCATACACAATGTTGTTCATCTTGTGTTTTGGCGTTAGGTCTTTTGGGTGAACCAGTTGTTGCCTCAGTGTATTGCTGGGTTTAAAGCAGACAGGGATGTGATGTTTTTTAAAAACCCTTCTGAGTTTCTCAGACACCCCAGCTACATATGGGATGACCAAATGCTGCTGTTTGTCATGCTTTTCATCCTCACAGGAACTCTTGGCATTCTTTCCTCTTCTTTCTGTTTTGACAAAAGCCCAGTCTGGATACCCGCAAGTTTTAAGGGTCCTTTGTCTTGGCTTCTGTTCTGGTGGGGATTTTCTCTGCCCGGTGGTGTAGAGTCCTGATGACTCCCAGTTTGTGGTCTAAAGGTTGGTGGGAGTCAAATAGCAGGTACTGGTCTGTGTGTGTTGGTTTTCAGTAGGCCTCTATTTCCAGCCTCCTTCCCTCTTCTACTGTTACTAAACAATCCAAAAAAGCCAGTTTGTTGTTTTGTATATCTTCCCGCATAAACTTGATGTTATGATCCACTGAGTTGATATGGTCAGTGAAAACCTGTAACTCTTGTTTGTGAATCTTAACCCAAGTGTCATCCACATATCTGAACCAATGACTGGGTGTAATTCCCTTGAAGGTGGTCAGGGCCTTGCTTTCAACTTCCTCCATGTACAGGTTTGCCACAATAGGTGAAACTGGTGATCTCATGGCACAACCATGTTTCTGCCTGTAGAACTTGTTCTTGTACTTGAAATAGGTGGTACTCAGGCAATGGTCCAAATAAGGCACACACTTGATCTGGATTAAGTTCTGTTCTGCTGCCTATGGTGTTGTCTAGTAGCAACCGTTTTCACTTTTTCAATTGCCTCTGTGGTGGATATGCAGGTGAAGAGGGAGGTGACATCATAGGATACCATTGTTTCTTCTGTGCCCAATATTAAGTTCTTGATTTTGTTTGTGAAATGTGGTGTTGTGTATTTCCAACCAAAGGGGCAAGTATTTTTTTTTGCCACGTTATAATTACCAGAGTTTATGCTGCTGACAATGGGCCTGAGAGGGGTCCCATCCTTATGTATCTTCGGAAGTCCATATATACACGGAGGGGCTTCACCAGGGTAGAGGCGATGATGCATAGCCCGATCAACGGCTTTGTCCTTTTCCAGCTGTTCTAGTAGATCTATAGCTTTCTTCTTAACCACGTAACCACTGGTTGGGTCCCTTCTTAAGGCTTCATATGTGTTGTTATCATTTCAGAAGTGTAGTCAGATGTATTAAGAACTGTGCATCTTCCTTTATCAGCAGGCAGGATGGTGATATTCTTGTCTGTCTTCAGGGATGTGGCCGCCCTCCTTTCTTGTGTAGTCAGGTTTGACGAAGGTGGTTTGACACTGGCCAGGGCTGCAGACACTTTTAGGCGAAGTTGTTCAGCCTCACCCTGTGGCACTTTGTTACTGTGGATCGAGGCCTCAGTAGCTAAGAATATCCACTACAGGGATGGTTCTTGGTGTGATTGCGAAATTCAACCATTTAGCAAGGACATCCATCTTAGAATGGGTGAGAACCAGCGGCGGAGCTACCGCCGGTGCGGCTGCCCCAGGGCCCAAGGTTAGGGGGGCCCATTGATGGGCGGACTGCCCTGTAGTGGCATATGGCAGGCCGGGCAGCACAGAGGCTCTGGGGCGGCCTGTCTGCTCAACTGCTGCTCGTAGCTGGGAGCGCTGCGGGGGCCCGTATACCGCCTGCAATGTAGCTGCCTGAATACAATGCAGGAGGTATACAGGACACACCGCCGGATCACCCCTCTTCTGGCGCGGGCACTGTTATTTGGTTTAATTAGAAAAATGGATTTTAACAGGGAATATTACACTGTAATGTTCCCTATTATAACCTATTTCTCTATCCCAGTCTGTTGGATTAAATATTGCAGTCCTGATTCCAGTGTATCCCCGAGTCCAGTGCGTCCCTGAGTCCAGTGCGTCCCTGAGTCTATTGTCTGCCACATACAATGCTGTTTTAACACCTCTCTCTGGGCAGGCTAATACCACCTCCTAGACTCCAAATATGCAAATACAATCAACACCTGGTTGTGATTAACAGATTACGTGGATTGGAGCAACATTCACCATATTTATTCCCAGATAATTTTTTGTGCAAGTCATTCTGAATTGAGAAAGCTGGTTGGATGACCAGTGAAACGTCTTCAAGAAAAATACAGCAAGTCCAGTTGCCCTGACTTATTTTTTACAGATATACCATGACCTGGATGAATGAGAACCTTCACAGACAGTATGAAACTCCCACTTTTTCTTACTTTGTTCTGTTGTACTGCCTTTATTATTGCAGGTCTTCTGAATATTTCCTATTTGTAAAAGCTGGTCTATTCACACTGCTTTACAGAACCTAGTCTTGTCACTTTTCCTGCTCCAATAATGTCCTTTAAAAATTGTTTATAATTTTTTTCTATGTGGCCTCTGTAATGAATACAGGACCTAGAAAACCTCTAGTAGGTGTTGTACTCACTCCTGTATTTTTAACATTTCTATGCTTGTTGATGGCCAACGATAAAACCATGTAGCAACAAGTACATTTTGAACAAGGTCATCATGAGCAAAAAGCCAAGAATGATGCACAGTAGACATGAATCGAAATTCGGACGAATTTTCGGACATTCGGATGTATCCGAATTCCGAATTACAAATATAACAAATGCAAACGAATCCGAATTTCCGTTTCCGAAATTCGGTAGCGGTAGTTCGTTCGACCGTTCGTTTCGTTTTCGTTTCGTATTCGTTTCGTTCGTTGGAGCAAAGTGACATTAGAGAAGGAGAAAAAAAATGTTCCCCCTCAAATGTCACTTTTCTGCAAACGAACGAATGAACGAACTGAATAAGAAACGAAACGAACGTTCGAACGAACTACCGCTACCGAATTTCGTCCGAATTCGAATTGACTTTCATACCCGAATCCCGAAAAACTAAATAACACAAATACGTATTTAAAACGAACCAAAACAAATTTTTTGGCAGTGCACATGTCTAATGCACAGTATAATGTAATATATGGGTACACAAAGCTCCAGTTTGCATGTAATTCCTATTTCCCAAATTTTATTAGTTTTCTTGCCTTTATTAATAATTGGTGGAGTTATAAAGGTGACAATACACTTTTTATAGTAACCCAAACTTCAACAGATGGTTAAGACTTGGGTAGAGGTTCACATATTATTTTACATGTGTTTGTTATGTGGCTGTAAACCTAAGTGATGTAAACCTGTTTTCATTAAAACATAGGTACAGTAATACCTGCATTAGTCAACATGGAATACAGTTTTTTAGTTTGAATATTTTACTGTCCACAGATACTCTGCACAACTCTTACCTGTAGGAAAACTGCTGAGTCCTGCTTGTATATCTTTACTAGTTGCATGTTGGAGATTGTGTCAATGCAACCCATAGAAAGCCCAGCTACTGCCATTATTACTGCAAGCACCACAACATGTCGGCAAAATGGAATTATAACAAACACCACGGAGATGATCAGAGTTGATGTGAGAAGGACAAACAAACACAG